AAAAAAAAAAAAAAAAAAAAAAAAAAAAAAAAAAGAATAGGAATTGATTAGGCAAAGGGGAGGTCTGGTAGAGGGGAAAGAGCATTTTAAAAAAAAAAAAAAAAAAAATCATGTGCAAAGGTCTGGAATCAGGAAGAAGCAAGGTATAAGAAGGAAGGCATGAGGCTGGACACACTCAGGCCCTGAGGGGTTGTAACTCCTGAGGGGAGATACTCAGGGGGTCTGGTAGACCCCTCAAATGACTTGCCAAAGTAGATGAGTATGTGAGTGGAGGTGTGAGCATTTTTCCAAGGAGAGAGTGTATAGTTTTCATCAGAGTCTTACAGCCAGTCTGTGATACCTTTCCCTCCCATGAAAACACAAAGAACCAATTCTGGAGAATCAGAGGCCAAGGTAGAGACTTTGGAATTTGTCCCAAGAGCTATGGGAACTTATTAGGCCAAAAAGTGACATTAGCCAGATTATAAAATCCACAGGGCAGAGATTTTTATCTCTCTTGTTCACTGATATATCCCAGGCACATAGAACAGTGCCATGCACATAGTGGGCCCTCAGTAAATAATTGCTGAATGAATGAAAATCTATTTTGGTATTATATTGATTGCATTACATGGTAATCATGGGCTTAATGCCTCTCCTTTACAAAGCTCCATTTTAGAAAACCGACTATGTCTTATTCATCTTCATATTACTAGAGATATGATGCTAATGCCCAGAGCAGTGCCTTTCTTAAAATCAGTTTAAATTATGCATTCATTCAATCAACCAATAATTAAAGGACATCTACCAGATGCCAGGAAGTGAGAATACAATATTGTCACTAACCTCAAGGATTTGCACTCTGGATGGGATGACTGGTAAGTAGCCATCCCGTAGTAGTATTATGGTAGTAATACTACTATGTCATCCCTGGTAATACTACAAAAGAGGTGATAACAGAACATAGCCCTAGGGGTGTCAGAGAAGGTCTGCAGGCAGAAGAAACTCTGGGGCTGCCCCTGGGCCAGGTGAAGAAGGGAAGAGCAGAACATGGGAGTGAGCGTTAAAGGCAAAGTCCAGAGGGGAGCAAGCAGGGCCCATTTGGAGAAAAGTACGGAGTGTGATGAAGCTGCAGAGGTGGGCCATGATCATAAAGTATCTGGACTTTATCCTGAGGACAACAGGAAGTCATTAATGGATCAGTGATGAAGCAGAAGAGTGATGTGGTCGGATTTGCATAAAAGACTACTTGTGCCCCAGAACGGAGAATGGATTGGAAAAGCCTTAATAGTGAGAGGGAGGGAGGGTCAGTAATTGGGAGAGATGGTGTCAGCTTGTACTAAAGTAGAGCTAATGGGAATAGAGAAAAACGGATGTATTTGAGAGATACTAAGGAGGTAGGATCAGTAGGAATTAGTGATTAATTTTATGTTAGTATGAGAATGTGGATGACTACTGAGATTTAAACTTGGACAATTTGGGTAAGTAAGAACAAAGATAGGGAGGGAGCAAGCTTAGAAAGGCAGATGATGAATTCTAATTTGGACATATTGGATTTGAGTTTTCTTTGAAACATCCACATGGAGACTTCTAGTAGGTGGTTGGAAACACACATGGATCTGGAGTTCAGAAGGAGGATCTAGGCTGAATGTGTAAATGTGAGGAAATGGTAATTGGTTCCTCAGAGTTGATGAGACCACTCAGAGAGAATGTAGTGAATAAGAAGAAAAGACAGTCAAAGACAGAACTCTGGGAGAATATTCAAGTAACAAACCTTTTTCTTAAGGGAATGAACAAAGGAATAAATGATAAAGTCATAGGGAAGAAGGGATCCCTTCCAGTGCTGTTCAAATACTGCTACCAAATCAGCTGGCTGTCCTGTCTGTGCTTAAGGCAAAGCCTGCTCTTTGGCTTTTCAAATGGAGAATATGTTACTAACCCAAAAAAACAGAAAGTAGGGAAATGTCATTAGCAGAAAGCATATCTTCAGGGACTTTTAAAAGACACATATGTGGCTACTGTACTCGTGAGGCTCTACTTGTTAGTCTGCATACAAAAATATTTTAAAAGCTGTATGTTTAAAATTTAATATGCAATGTATTAGAAATCATTTGATGATCATCTGAGGTCTCAAATTATCTAGGTAATCTGTCTATCCTGCTCAGTGCTGGCCCTTAGATGGTTGGCTTTGGCATCAAATATGCAAACTTAGCCAGTTGGAATATACCTGAAAACTGTTTCTCAAATGTTCTTTTGTGTAGATAAATTTGTTGGTTTGTATAGTACATGTAGATTATCTATCTGTGTTAGGAAGTGTCCCCTGACTGATAACATACTTGCTTCTGAACCCACTAGTTTTCTCTAAACCACTGAGAGTTCCCAGGTCTCACTGGTTGCCTTGAGATTGTACACATTGTTGAAAATGTTTTGACTAACACAGTGCAATAAAATTGCAGTTCTGCCACTTGTAAGAAAACTCTGGTTTGCTTGAACAATTGAAGAAAAAGAACAAAACTATTATACCATCAGGCCAGCTTGTTATTTGAGAATTTGTACACCCATCTTCTCTTCTTTCATGCATACCCAGACTCGAGACAGGAGGATAGTTTGATTTGAATGGAAAGCATGCCCAAGCAACATTTCTAGACAAGCTGAGTTTTACCAAGTACTTTTTCTTACTACCAAACTGTAACAAATTCATCTCATAGATACAGAAGTTGGTTTTTGTTTTTTGGGTTATTGTGTTGCTATTTCCTTTCTTTTAGAGCAGGCCATTTCAAACTTTCACATGTATAAGCAAGCTGATTATTTGATGAGCAACTCTATTTTCTCAGAGTTTTACTGTTTCATATAGTCAATGTCATAATTTAAGCCAAAGGGAATTTCTGGTTTCTGAGATCAGGAATTCAACTGCTTTCTAAAACTGAAGGATAAATTAGTGCTTAAATTAGTCATTTTTATTATTTATTTATTTTTATTATTATTATTTTTTTAAGATGACCAGTAAGGGGATCTTAACCCTTGACTTGGTGTTTTCAGCACCACGCTCTCCCAAGTGAGCCATGGGTCGGCCCTTAAATTAGTCATTTTTAGACCCAATCTGTTTCTAAATGGTACTTACGTACTTTATTGACATTTCTCACTATTTGTAATAATAACATATCAGTAATAATAATAACACACAAGAAAAAGGATAATGTTGGAGCCTCTAGTAGGTTTTATGAAAGTCTTGCTTTATAATATATCTCATATTCCATTTTCCTTCCAAAGAAAGAACAAAAGACATAGAAAAACCTTTCCTCCCATCTAGTGGCCAGAAAATATATAAATATCCTCTATGTGTTTATTGGAATTCCAGGCATTAGGGATTGTCTGACAGATTGTAATACACACAATTGTTCACTCAGTTAAGGAAAAATTAGTTCTAAAATATTTACCAAAGCTGAGCCCAATGGAGAAATACATATCTGTGATGATTCATTAATCAACTTCCCTTTAATCAATAACATACTTCTCTTCAGTAGAAGGGTCACGGTCCTTCTTAATTTATTAATCTGAACATATGATAGAAAAGACAAGGCTGTATGTCTCTGCTAACTGAAATTGGGACTTAAATTGTATTTGCCTCTAAAGCAATCAGTGCCCTAGATCTCTCCTGACCCCTAATTGCTCCTTGTTGGCCCCACACCTTCACAACCCTTCCGTCAAGAGTTGGATGTGCTGAATTCACTAGAGAGAGCCAAGAAACTGTCCCAGAAACTGGCTGCCTCCAGGGGACCTCAGCTCCTGAAACTTGGAATACCAGATTCTGATACTGGCTGCAGGGCCTCTGTGCAGGGACAAACTAGCCCACAGGAAAGCAGGTTTGGATCCGTTATGCAGCTTGAGGGATTAATGTTTGGTCTACCTGTCTTATATATGTCTTGTGCAGATGTCAAACTCTCTCCTGAATTGTGCCTCTCTCTGGTGATTCTCACAGATTCAAAGAACGAATTTTGTCTACAGTCAGCAAAGTTCTGAGAGCTCCCGGAAGAAGAGGAAAGTCAGCGAACCAGTGAAAGTCTTCATCCCTAACAGAAAATGAAAGTTAGATGCTTTCACTACATTTATCTTTAGATAATTTTGTTTTGCAAAAACATGCATGAAGTGTCTTAGTAGGAAAGTAAGTTCCTATTATCAAAACCTTTTAAAAATTTGTTGCTCAACTTTTTAAAGTCAATTTACTGAGTAATAAATTACTGGGTAGGACATGAGTTTACTTTGCTACAAGGAAACAAGGTCACCAGGGCTGCTTTGGGATAGCATTACTTCAAGGCTGAGTTAGAGATGAGACATCCTTTATATTTGTAAAAGAACCACAGCAACTATTTTGACAAGAAATAAGCTGTTGTCCTCAAAGGAAAGAAGAACTTTCTTTGTGTAATTAAACTCTCCAGATATTTAGACTACTGTGAAATGTTTTAACTTGTTGTAACCTGTGTACTGGAATCCCTCTATAGCTTTATTAAAATTCCCACAGAATTGCATAGGATGTTTGTGGAGGTGCTTATCCAGGTGTGATTTAAGTGTTAACAATCACAAGGTTGATCAGCTAAGTGTGGGACCAAAATGTGCTCTTCCTGTAAAGTTCCTCAACTCTGCCCCCAGGCCCTCTTCTACTGGTCAGTCCAAGATAGGGGACATGCTACACTTCAGGAGCCTCGCTCCTTTCTTGAGGCCTATGTTGAATATTTCCCAATAAGTGCCTCATTTTATTAGTCTGTAACATGCAGATGATGCTTTTAGTCTCCCCTCCCCCTTATTCTGGAAGAATTTTGATAGACTTAATGATTAGTATGAGATGAATAATAAATAACTTAAAGTATTATTTTATTATTTATATTACATGGAATATAATAATTTAATTTAAATGGATAAGACCAATAAGTTGTATGTTATGTGTATATTCTTTATGGTTAAATAAAATTAAAATGCAAGGTTTTTTTTGTTCATCTTTTTTCACACTGGGAAGTTTCTTCACTTAGATCAGTGTATCCACAAATGTAAAGTGCAGTGAGTACCTCAGCACCTGGAGTGCTTATTAAAATATGGATTACTGGGCCTGCCTCATTTCTACTATATCACACTCTCAATGGATGGGCCCTGGGGAAAACTCTCTGGATTCTAATGTATGCAAAAAATTGAGAACCTATGACCGTTGACACAGGTGAAGGAGAATCTCTGGGCCAGATGTACATGTTAGCCAGCAAAAGGTTATATGTTACAGTAACAGAGGAAAATCCAAGGTAGCCTGCCTGTTGAGCACCACACCTTGCCAGACTCTTACCCATTTTTCACTGTCCAGGCCTTTTACCAACTGAGGACTTGAATTGGGCTATAGCACCAGGGCCTGCTAGGAAGGAACATTTTTCCTTCTCCCAGAATGTGAAGTGGATTCATATAAGCCTGCTCCACCACTGAAAAGAGGAGGAGGGGAAAGGTATGGGGTTTATTATATCTGTGATAGCACTGTAGCCTGAATCACCATAATTTCTTTTAAGAGAATCACATAAAGAGATTAGCTGTCTAGAAGAGGGATTAGGTTTATTTTGTGTCTCTCCAGAAGGCAAGTCTAAGACTAAATTGGTGAAAACTACAGCAGGAGCTTTTAAACTCCATAGGTTGTCAAAATTTTTAAATGGTTACCTTGTGAGGCAGTGAGCTTACCTTCATTGCGAGTGTTTGAATATAAAGGGGCTTTACAAAGAATCTAGGAGCAAATTAGTTACACAGAGTAATTAGTTAATCTGCATTTCAGAAACCATTTTGTCTAAAGGGGCAATTTAGGTTTCAATCTATATTTATAATTTTCATAAACTTAGCCTAAGGTTGACAGATCCTTTAAATCAAAGTCTAGAATCTGAATCTCTCTAGAAAATTTCTATAGTGACTTTGTTGTCTCTATTGACACTCTCTCCCCTCCCCCAGTGGAAGTCTTTATCGCTGCCAGTAGGTAGAATGTGGATTTCTGATGCAGTGTTTGTGTGAGGTAGCAGAGAGAATTTGCTGGGCTTGTGTCCTTGGCTGGGCACACAAGGAAGGAGATCTGTTATCAAGAGGATCTGAGAACCATGAAAATGTGAACTAGCTGATTTTATACAGCAGAGCTCATATATGCAACCAGCTATCAAGATTGGAGAGTATTCAATTCTATTTACTGAATGATTTATTAGAAGGAAAGAAATCTCTTCTGTAGTCAGTTCATATCTGTCCTTAGCTGTAATGGAGTAAATAGACACAAATGCATCAAGGAGCTGAAACTTCAGTGAAAAGAATGAAAACTTAGACCCCCAAGCTGGGAAGACTGAGCTATGCTAGATTAGCCATTCTCTTACCCTGAATGTGCTTGGTTCATCGATGGATTGCAAAGATTAGATGACGATAGCTTGGGAACTAGGACATTGCTACATTAAAAATCATGCAGGGGAAATTTGAATTCGGCTGTTTGGGGTTTTTCTGTCTTTACAGAAAGTTGGTCTAGCTGGAAAGAGATGGGTTAGGCTCATGATTGCCACTAGACTTTGAAGCCAGACACTGAAACCACACCTTCATTTCCCCTCTTGCAGGTCCCTCTGGTGTCTGGGTTCTTTCACTCTCCAGCTCATCTCTGCTAGGAAGAGGCTGGACATGTTCATCAGTGTCAAAGTTTCATTCACATGAGTTCAAAGTCATGTATATGGTTTTAAAATTCTATTAACCATTATAGCCAATTTTCAGTGTATTTTAAAATGATCAACTTATGGTTTTAAACCCAACAATATTGGATCTTTAGAGACTTTCACACATTCTTATAGTAAAAATAATTCTCGGTTATAATCATTATCATTTAGAAGGAGGTCCCAAATAATAAATTGAAACTTAACACACTGTACTTGTAAGAGTTAAGGCAAGGTCCTTCACACTGTATGACTGTAGATTCTATACAAGTTAGAAAATACCTACATGTATTCTCTTTAGAAATTATTAGTTTGTTTCAAGAAAAAAAAAGGTAATATTTTAAGTGTGATTGTGTGATTTGTATACTGAAATCCTGGCTGAGATTTGATATGTGATTTTCAGTATCTGTGGAGGACTGAGGGCAGCATTTTGTTCCAGAAAAAAAAAAAATCTTTTACTAATGGGTCTTTTGGTTATACAATGGTAAAGTCAAGCTTCTATCCAAAAATGGCGAGACTAAAGGTCCTAGGAGCTAATCTGCTCATATAATATCTCCTTGGGTGCACTTCATCCCTGCAGATAGGGTTTCACCTTTTGGGAGGGTCAAAGTTACTGAGACTCACTCTTACAGATGATGTTGGCTCACAGGCAGTGCTGGCTGACTGTGTGCAGGGTGGGGTAAACTGGTCCCTGCAAATTGGCTGGAAGCTGTGTGTGAGATTTGCTCAATAGGGGACCCTGAGAAAGGGCTTAGCCAGCATTTCTGGTCATAGGCTGATTTATTCAGCTTCAGGTTTTTTTCTGTGTTATAATTCCATTGTGTTATCCCCAAGCCTTAAGTAAAGTCTCATTAAACATTTTATTCTGGTCTTAACACAGTACAAGGGTTTCCCCATGGCAGGAGTGAAGAGTCAGGATGGTTGAGATAACCAGAAACATCTGGGAGGCACTGGTTGAGCATTCCTTGGGATCTCAAATAATTAGGGACAGAAACCTGGCATAAGAGTAGATTTGGGAGAGGGGGTGTTATTTGGGGATTTCAGGACTCCCGAAGGCTGGAGAAATCTGAGCCATCTAGGTTCCATTTAGATAATTACTCATTGGCTTTGGACAAGCAGATGAAGTTAGCTTTCTGTCTTCCTTTTAGCAGGTAGTTAGCCTAAGTTGCTGGGTTCAAAATCTGACTGCCATTTTTTAGGCAAGTTATTTCATCTCTCTAGCCCTCAGTTTATTCAATCTGTAAAATATAGAGAATAATGGTACCTACTTATGAGGATTAAACGAGGTTATTCAAGCAAACTGCCCATCACACATATAGTCAGTGCTCAACAGATGTACATTATTATTGCTATTTTATGTCTCTTAGCATGTCCTCTTCTTTAGTCTACAGGAGCTTAGGATCCCTGTGCTGTTTTTGCCTAACCGAAGCACCTACATGTCATCCTCACCAAGCCTGGGGCCAGCACTTGAACCATGTTCCCAATTGCCTCTGTTCTCAGCACCCTCCCCACTCCTTTCCCCAAATTGAAACTCCCTTTCCCTTAAGACAGTTCCGTGGAAGGGAAGCATCAAGATTATGCTTAATGTGCTACCCTCCCACATTTGCATTTTAAAACAGAAGCTCGTTAATAAGAAAAATGAATCTCACCTAGGGATTGCAATATGAGAACAGATTGAATAAACAGAGAAGAAGAAAGTTTAAGGAGAACTTTGTAGCTGTCTTTAAATATATGAAGGGCTGTCATGAAATGCAGGGAACCATAGACACATTCTTTGTTGTGGCAAAGAGCAGAACACAACCCAGTGGAAGGAAGTCTCAGAGAGGCAGATTTGGCCTCAACATATTAAAGAATTTCTCCTCCATGCTCTAGCAAAGCTCCTGGCACACGGAAGACAATCAATCAACATTTTACTGTTTTTATTAGCAATTACAGCTATCAGCTGGTGACTGCTTCTGGCTGTAATGAGTTCCTCATCACTAGAGGTGTTCAAGCCTAGTTGTCCAGAATGTTGTCCCTTTGGACAAAAATTGAGCCAATTGAATATTGAAACTTCTTCCAGTTGTAGAATTCTATGACACTTTTATTAATTGTAGAATTTCAACAGATATTTTGGAGCAAAGGAACATTTCATAAATCCTTTTTTCCAAAAGGCAGTAAAGTGATTAAAACTGAGGGTTCTGGAGTTATACATTATCTGGATTCAAACCCTGTTCATCCTACTTAATAGCTGTGTGACTCTGGGCAAGTTAGTTTATCTCTGTACTTCAGTTTCCTCATCTGTAAAGTGGGAGCAATAATAGTGTCTCTCACAGAGTTATTGTGAGAGCTAAATGGGTTAATACAGATAAAGCACTTAGAAGAATGCCTGGCACACAGAAAGTTAATGTTCAATAAATGTTAGTTATGAAGTATTATCTGATACCCCTGCCACTTCTACAGCTTTTTACATCTTTTCAGTATGTGGAAGGAGGTCCTTTGTAGCATAATTGACCCTGAACATGTTTTTCCCTAAATCAGATGCCAGCCATGGCCACTGTGATTAACCAGTGGACCTTCTGTCTCCTTTGAGCAAGATTTAAAGCTAAACAAGCAGACATGGGCCTGTGACGTGCAGTTTTTGAAGGATCTGCCAATGAAACGCAGTCATGGCTGTGGACACACTAACCCTGCTATGTTCCTGGCAAGTGGGAGATACCCAGTAAATATTTGTTGAATGAACAGGTGAACTTGGCAGGGTTCTTATTATTTCCTACATTTTATTTATTTATTTTTGATTAGGTAATACATTCACATGATTTAAAATTCAAAAGGAACAAAAGGATATATAGAGAAAAACACCTCTCCTACCCTCTCCCTCAGCCATCCAGTTCCCTTCCCCATAGGTAACTAACATAACCACTTTCTCATATGTCTTTCCAGAGCTGTTTTAGGCATAAACAAGCAAACATACTTGCTTACGCACATTCATTTCTTTCCCTCCTTTTTAAACAAATAAGAATAGCATCATACAGTGTTCTAGGCACGTTTATGGAAGTGACCCCAGAAGTGGGGGTGAGTGTGGGCATGCTAAGGAAGAATTAGAGAAGAAAAAGACAGAAAAACCAATCAGGAGGCGATTGCATTAATGCAGATGTAAAGTGATTACGGCCTGGACTAGTATATTAAAGGAAGTAATCAGGGAAAAAATTGTTTGAAGTTTTTTAGCTGACACAAGGGTAACCACCACTATGATTAAGATATAGAGTATTTTTGCCACCCCCAGAAGTTCCCTAGTGTTT